ACAGACACAGACACAGACACAGACACAGACACAGACACAGACACAGATACAGACACAGACACAGACACAGACACAGACACAGACACAGACACAGACACAGACACAGACACAGACACAGACACAGACACAGACACAGACACAGACACAGACACAGACACAGACACAGACACAGACACAGACACAGACACAGACACAGACAGAGACAGACAGAGACAGACACAGACACAGACACAGACACAGACACAGACACAGACACAGACACAGACACAGACACAGAGACAGACACAGAACAGACACAGACACAGACACAGACACAACACAGACACAGACACAGACACAGACACAGACACAGACACAGACACAGACACAGACACAGACACAGACACAGACACAGACACAGACACAGACACAGACACAGACACAGACACAGACACAGACACAGACACAGACCACAGACACAGACACAGACACAGACACAGACACAGACACAGACACAGACACAGACACAGACACAGACACAGACACAGACACAGACACAGACACAGACACAGACACAGACACAGACACAGACACAGACACAGACACAGACACAGACACAGACACAGACACAGACACAGACACAGACACAGACACAGACACAGACAGACACAGACACAGACACAGACACAGACACAGACACAGACACAGACACAGACACAGACACAGACACAGACACAGACACAGACACAGACACAGACACAGACACAGACACAGACACAGACACAGACACAGACACAGACACAGACACAGACACAGACACAGACACAGACACAGACACAGACACAGACACAGACAGACACAGACACAGACACAGACACAGACACAGACACAGACACAGACACAGACACAGACACAGACACAGACACAGACACAGACACAGACACAGACACAGACACAGACACAGACACAGACACAGACACAGACACAGACACAGACACAGACACAGACACAGACACAGACACAGACACAGACACAGACACAGACACAGACACAGACACAGACACAGACACAGACACAGACACAGACACAGACACAGACACAGACACAGACACAGACACAGACACAGACACAGACACAGACACAGACACAGACACAGACACAGACACAGACCCCGACACAGACACAGACACAGACACAGACACAGACACAGACACAGACACAGACACAGACACAGACACAGACACAGACACAGACACAGACACAGACACAGACACAGACACAGACCAGACACAGACACAGACACAGACACAGACACAGACACAGACACAGACACAGACACAGACACAGACACACACACATACACAGACACAGACACAGACACAGACACAGACACAGACACAGACACAGACACAGACACAGACACAGACACAGACACAGACACAGACACAGACACAGACACAGACACAGACACAGACACAGACACAGACACAGAACACAGACACAGACACAGACACAGACACAGACACAGACACAGACACAGACACAGACACAGACACAGACACAGACACAGAACGCAGACGCAGACGCAGACGCAGACACAGACACAGACACAGACACAGACACAGACACAGACACAGACACAGACACAGACACAGACACAGACACAGACACCGACACAGACACAGACACAGACACAGACAAAGACACAGACACAGACACAGACACAGACACAGACACAGACACAGACACAGACACAGACACAGACACAGACACACACACACACACACACACACACACACACACACACACACACACGTGACTGAATCGTCTGACAGGCTGCCATGCCGCCTGTCAGCCTCCAAGTTCCAGGCTGCAAGTAGAACTTGAAAGGTGGTAAAAGCAACGTAAAGGGTTCAAACATAACTTTATGTTTAAGTGGCGAAAATGACCTTGCATTCCCTTTTGGATCTGTTTCTCTTCACACCAACCATATTCCAACTATGCACAGAGAGCAAGCAAGCAATAGCGGCCAGGCTAAATGAACGGCTTCTGGTTATGGTATCCTCTCCCACTGGGCGACAGGAGCTCCCTTTAACAGGGAAAGGAGGGGTTCTTCATTTTCTGGGTTGACTAACCATAGCCCAGCGTGTGTCTTTCCAACCTAGTCGACTTTTTGAAGCCTTTGAACAACTCAAAAAAAACTAGACCACGGTTGGCCCGAAAGCATAACACCGCAAGCGAGGTCGGGCAAACGCTGCAGCAACTGACAGAATGGAATCTCGTAGATGCACGAAAAGCTCCCCGCAACTTCTTTCATGATGAGAACTCCTTGCGTCAACTCCTAGAGGACGAGTGGCCTGAAAGTATAACTCCCTACGATGTGCGGCAAACTTGTTAAACCCCGGCCTGGCACATGCGCAAGTTGCTCTGCGCAAGTTGCTTTGCGCAAGTTGCTCTGTGCGAGTTGCAGTGTGTGCAAGTTGCTCTGCGCAAGTTGCTCTGGGCAAGGTGCTCTGCACAAACTGGTCTGTGCAAGTTGGTCTGCGCAAGTTGCTCTGCGCAAGTTGCTCGGTGCAAGTTGCTCTGTGCAAGTTGCTCCGCTCCGTGCAAGTTGCTCCCTGCAAGTGGCTCCCTGCAAGTTGCTCTGTGCAAATTGCTTCCTGCAAGTTGCTCCCTGCAAGTTGCTCTGTGCAAGCTGCTCTGTGCAAGTTGCTCTGTGCAACTTGCTCTGCGTAAGTTGCTCTGCGCAAGTTGTTCTAGGCAAGGCGCTCTGCGCAAACTGGTCTGTGCAAGTTGCTCTGCGCAAACTGGTCTGCGCAACTTGCTCTGCGCAAGTTCCTCTGCGCAAGTTGCTTTATGCAAGTTACTCCGAGCGAACCAGGGGGGAATCGAACCCACGACCCGTGGTCCGGGAGCACACTCCCTGAGGACCATTTCGTAAACAACAAAAGTCGCAAAAAACCTCGGGTTCAGGTTTTTTTAACTATTTTTTTTTTTTTTTTATTTTTTTTTTTTTTTTTTTTTTTTTTTTTTTTGTTTTTTTTGATTTTTTTTTTTTTTTGTATTTTATTTTGTTCTTTTTTTTTTTTTTTTTTTTTTTTTTTTTGTTTTTTTTTTTTTTTTGTATTTTTTTGAACCTCGACCACGCCGATCCCCGCAGAGGGTCGCGCGGGAACCGCAGAAATCGTAAAAAAAACCTCGAGTTTTTGCACCTCGAGCATGTTCAAAATCGCAAAAACAAACCCGAGCTTTTGCACCTCGACCACGCCGATCCCCGCAGAGGGTCGCGCGAGCATGTTGAAAATCGCAAAAAACAGCGTTTTTGCACCTCGAGCACGCCGATCCCCGCAGAGTGTCGCGCAGGCATATCAAAAAACGTAAATAACCTCGAGTTTTTGCACATCGACCACACCGATCTCCGCAGAGGGTTGCGTGGGCGCCGCAAAAAAAACGCAACAAACCTTAAGTTTTTGCACCTCGACCACACCAATCCCCGCAGAGGGTCCGTTTTCGTGAAGTGTCGTCGGCACTACCCCGCCGCCCTAAGAAGAGACAAGTCAATTGCACTTGACTCCTTGCACTTGCAACTTGCACTTGACTCCTTGCACTTGCAACTTGCACTTGACTCCATGCACTTGCAACTTGCACTTGACTCCATGCACTTGGCTCCTTGCAGCTTGCAATGACTCTCATGACTCCTTGCAATGACTCCTTGCAATGACTCTCACTTTCATGATGATGATTCCTTGCCATGACACCTTGTAATGAGTCTCATGAGAACAACTCAAGTGAACCCAGCGGAAGAACCCTTCGCCATGCTTTCGGGAAAAAACAACTCCACTTAAATCTCGACTTCAAGGGAACCAGAGGCTCGAAACGGCAAAAAAGCAGAGAAGAACAAAACACGGCTCGGCGCCGAATCGGCTCCGAAGGTCCCGCACAGCTCGGCGCCTGGTGGACGAATTTCAGCTGATCCAGCAGCGCCTCAACGGAGGGCAGCTCCTTGAACTTCACCTGCGAGCATTCTAGGCTTTGATTCCTTGTCCATTTTTCTTAACCATCGTTCTTTTCGAAAACCGGCCGTATTCCCTGGGTTTAGTGAGGATTGTTGGAAAGAAGGATCCCTGAAAAGAATGGGTGTAACCCATGTTTGGGCTAAAAAAGGGGGTCAGCTCTCTGCTTCGGCCAAAAGAAGGCTGACTCACCAAAGAAAGACTCAAGCGGGGTGAAGTTCATGTCCTTTTGCCAGAAGCCAAACACACCTCAAGACTTTCAAGTAAAGGTTTCAATTTGTCAACTTGCTTGGCCAAAAAAGCACCAAACACACGAAACACACCACTAAGGAAGAGCCACCACCATGAAGAAAATGGCTTTGGTTGGCTTCAGGCATCACAGCCCAGCTGAATTGCCACTCTTTGCCACTCTCGACCGTCCCAGCTTCACGTGGAAGGTGGCGACTTGCTCTTGCCATGTCGGCCGAAGCAACAGCAAATCAGAATCAATCTTTGGGGAGCTTCAGAATTCGCTTCGGCTGGACGGGGCTTTAGGGGCCGAAATTGTTATGCTTCTAGTGGAACCTTTTTTTTTGTCACGCTTCCGCATTCATCTTAGCGTTACATACATATATATATATATATATATATTAGGTATATGGGCACGTTTTTGTTAAGGGGACCGCCAAAAAAAAGTGGTTTCCCTTTGGTTCCGCGTGTTAAAACGAAATATACATATATATATATATGTATATAAGTACCCCCAAAACCTTTACTATATATATTTTTTCTTTTAAAGACACCCCCTTTGTTGTGGAAGAGTCCCGCAAGGCGGGCCAAACCGACGCCAGCCGATAAAGTGAACGCGCAATACACCCAACATATGTGAATCGAAACCTATAACACACCAACAACCACAACAACCCAACTCCAGGCAGCCCAAGCCTTTACCCACGGAATATTCAGGAGAGTCTTCTCGGGTCTTCAGGACTTCTCCGCTTTTCCCGGTGTCGCATCCATCATGCGTCCCTACAAAACTCCTGGTAGCTCCGGGAGGCTCCCTCCTTGTATCATTCGTCCGAACCCCCGCGCCGTCTTGACCGCAGTGGGCGCAATCATCCCCACCGAGGAGGTGTGAGCCTGGGCCGTTCGGGTCGAATTCGAATCGCCTTGAAGCAATTCACAGCATGGTCTGCACCAGGCCACAGACTGCCCTTGGCAGAACACTTTCCATTGTTTGCCAGGTGAGTGAAAAACAAAGGGAGCCCAAGAAAAAGCAAACATCGAATAGGGGAGCTAATTCTGGGGAACTGCCTTGCTCAAGCCAGGCATGGCTTGTTTCCGAGAACAGGTCCAAAGGAGACAAATGCCAACCTCTTGAGGTGAAATCGTCTGACAGTAGCCGCCAAAGTTGGACTAAAAGTTGAACTCCTTGAGCAAGGGCTGTCCCTTTCACAAAGCCCCTTTACAGGAACCAGGATTCGCCTTTTGACCAATTCCTCTCGAACATGAGGGACAGCGGCCGGAAAAAGGAAAAAGCGGTTTGCAGAACAACTTCCTCAAATTGGGAAATGGCTCGGAAATATAAATAAATAAACAAATACATACACAATTTACATAATAATTGCATTGTGCGCAACAAGCACTCAACAGTTGTACGACAAACGGACCAGGCCTGGGCCCGAGCAATGCCTAGTGTTGCTTCGTAAGTCCAACAGCGAAGCTTGGCTAGCCATGCCAAGCTGGATGATTGCATGCATTGCCGGCCAGATGCTCGTGCTTAGTGATCTGAGCTCGTGGGATAAACTGGCCAGCATTTCATAGGGCGTCGTCCCCAAAATGAAGGATCCCTCGAGAACAACAGGGGTTTATTTGCGGTTGCAGTCAGCAGACCTGTGCAGGGCACCTTTTTTCGGACCGAAACCTGAGTGCTGCGCAGCTTCCATCTCAGCCGCGGAGTCGCCCAGCACAACTGAGCGGATGAAGCGCTGTGAGTTCCAGCTGCGAGCCCGTCCAATCTTGTCGTGGTGACCCTTTTTGCAAACAAAGCGCCTTCTGACAGAGAGCTTCTACCGTCAGAGACTTGCACACCGGTTTGAGATATGGGGGGGCAACCCAGAACTATGTAAAGAATTAAGAAGGCGGCCGCAGCTATTTATGGTCACTAATACTGAAATCAGCTTGCGGCTTCCGCAAGGAGAAGCTTAAGCTTCACGCAAACGGCTGAACTGAGCAACAAGAAAAGCTGACTGTCGGGAAACAGAGGGACATCACGGGTACCTGCAGGACCCATGTGGCTCCCTGAAAGCCTTCGAATCCGAACATTCATCCTACAAGAAACCTAATCCAATTTGAGGCAGTTTAGACCAAGGCTATGTCTTAGGGGAACCGATTTTGGATGGGTTGCAAGGCGCGCCGTAGCATGAAACCTGCTTAGAGTGGGCCCAATCCAATTCCGGTTGGCTTACCATCACAAGGCATCCTCCATGTCAACGCCTCCCTTGCTTCCGAAAGAAGGCCCTGGCAAGGCCTGTCCATAGCTTATTTTTGGAGGAAATCAGGGGAGGGGCTAGGGGTTTTTTGGAGGAAATCAGGGATAGAAGGGGTGGAGTGGTCCACGTCCCACCCTCAATCCGAGACACCATCATCCTTTCGGTCAAGGACAGACATGAGATGTTCCCAAATATTGACCCAGGATTGGCTTTCTATCGATGGAATATCTGCCCAAAAACGGGGCCGTTTTCGATGGTGGGGGAACCTTCAGCTGGCAGGCCATGAACATCGCCCGGTAGCAGGCCTCAACCCTTGAACCCACCTTGGAGGCATCTCCTTGCGGGTTTTTGAGGAACTTCCCTGCCCGTTCCAGGCCAAAACCATGTACTCACCTCCTGAAATCCCGGGCTGGAGTCACCTTTTGGGGCTGGACCATCTTGGTGGAAGTTCAGGGCTTGAGGCCTGCTTGCCAGGGGTTTAGGGGTCTCCCCCCCCCATTTTTCGGGGTCCCCCGCCGAGGCCCTCAAATGGCTGTGGGTCAAAAATATGTACCCAAAATGGAATCCTGGCAAATGGAAACATGGACCAAAACCTGCGGTCCAATTCCTGGTGGTTCAATTTGACCCGTACCCCCAGTGAACATCCGATTCAATCCAACCAATGGGTGGTGAATTCACCAATCCCAACCAAAATGGGATCCCGTTTAACGGTTTTGATAACAGCCAAATACTTGTCCCTTGGCAGGCGCCCCCGCTGAGGTGAAGCCCCCCAGGCGCCGCAGCGGTGTGCTGCCACGAGGACAGCAGCTCGCGAAAGGCCTCGCGCGGGTTGGGCTCCAACTGGGCTGTGTCTCTGTTTTCAGGGTGACGATTTCCTTTTGTTTGATCGGTTTTTGAAGGGAACCACAAAGAAACCCACGTTTGGTCTCTCTTTTTTCAGGGTAGAGCCGTTTTGGTGGTTTTTGAAGGGACCCACATTTTTCGTGTTTGTTTGTGCTCTTTTTTCTGGGGGGCTCCCAAAAAAAACCTCGGTTGGCCTGTTTGGCGCCAGAAAGAAAAGGTGATCACCTTAAGTAGTGGTTGCCAAATCAGGGAAACCAAAGGTGAAAAGGTCGGACCAAAACAACTTGTTTTCAAAGCTTGCAACCTACACTACTTAGAGCCAGGCTTTTACTGCGTGCTGAATAGGGCTCTAGCAGATCATGTGCATGTCCGTACCCTTGTGGATGACAAGAGTCAATAGCAACTCTTCCATTTGTGTAAAGTGCTCATCTGTGTCCATGAGTTGTGGTCGGCCGCAACAAAATCAAACCTGCAAGCAACGATCTCTTGATCGCCGGATGTTGCGTTCATTCCCAGAAGTTGTCTTCCCATTGTGTCCTGGTTCCCTGTTAGCGACAGGCCCGGATCAGGCTTTGTTTCACATGCACTTGGCAAGTAAGAGATGGCAAACATAAACTAGGTAGATGGCTGGTTGCTTTCGGGAAACTGGCCTGGACCAACGTAACACTCACTGGCCCAGTTTGGACCCAGAAATAAAAGGAGAGCACCTTTTGGGTTGCCAAATTCACTTCGTGCGTGGATGGGCCAAAAAAACGACCAAACGGTTTACTTGCCACTAGAATGGTCTTCTCAAAAAAAAAAAAAAAACAGGAACTCATTTAAAACGTCCAACACACCCAAAACTACCAGGAAACCAAAACGCCTCGGACAAGGCCGGAGAATGCATCTCCAGGCAGGAAGTGAGCAAATCTTTCAGTCAGATCCGGTCCATGGTCGATTCGCTTTGGGCATCGGAGGTGGTTTCGACTTGACAGCTTCACCAAAGCCTCAGCCCCACTGGGGCACTGGGGCTATGTGCGCGATCCTGCACCTGAAGACTCTCCGAAGTCTCCAAATGAAAGGGGGGCACATTTGTGTCCTTTTGTTTTTGGCTACAATATATATATATATTTGGAGGGAAACCAAACAGAAAGGTCTGCTTTTTAGGCTACGCCTTTTTGTTTCTTGGTTTTGCGGGGAACCAAAAGAACAAAAACACAAAACCCATGTCTGTTTTTGAGGCTACGCCTTTTTGGTATGCTTTGTGAGGGAAACCACAGGGAGAAAACCGAAATCCATGCTTGGGAGACTTCAAATGACGCATGTCGAATTTTGCGCGCCCCGCCTCGCGCTTCCATGCGAAGACGTCCCCCGGGAAGCGCGGCTCCTGGACTCGTGGGCGGGCCAAGCACAGCGCGCAAAATGGGCGGAAACGGCCCGTTGCGGAGAAGACTCCCCGAACTCCCCAGAGCAGATTGCCAGGAAAGAGTCGTGAGATCCACACCTCTCAGGGAAAATGAGGAGCCCACGCCGCTTGAGCCACTGGCTTTAAACCCCGGGTAGTTGAGGACAAAGTAAATCTCAACCCCTTCCAGGAGCGCAACGCCTAACATCCCAACTTGAAAACCCAGACTTCCACACGGAGAGCGTGCCAGGGATCCTGACAGTTGCTTTGAAAGGTCTACAAGGTTCTTCCAGCCCAAAGAGCAAAGACATCCCCCAACTGAAACCCCACTAATACATTGATTTCCTTTGCAGCCTCAAAGGGAACATGATGGAACATCAGGAAGGGTCGCTCTGGTTCGTTTCTTGAAAAAAAAACATGCCAGCAGAGTCTGCCTGTGCGGCCGAGTGGCCCATCTCTTTCGCGCGGAGATGACTTGGATGCGGGACCTCGCTCAGGAGACTTCTAGTTGTGCTTGCCTTAAAAGTTGATAGCTGTATGGTGTCGAAACATGTTGGAAGATACCCGGCTAAAAGCTGAAGCTTCACGCTTTGATGCACTCTCTTGTTGGCTTCTCAACCAATGGAACCCATGCGTGTGGTCTGAATGCAAATAGCGAGAAGGAGCTGGCAGCCACGAGTGGAAGGGCCCTGAATTTTGAGTCGGTCAGAACTCAAAGTTGCAGTGTTTCAGTCAAACCATACATAAACCGTTGACAGTCTCCCATCCCATTCCCGAGTCATTCTTCAGCAACATTGCTCCAATTCAGATTCCACTGACTAAACTTGGAAATGGCGCATTCAACCTATGGTCAGAGCCCCGCTTTCCTTGGAATGTGCAGAGCTTTGGATGCCAATGGGTGTTTAGGGCACCCCTCCGAAATGGCTTCGGTGTTCCTTTTGGATTTCCTTGAAAGGCCCCAAAAATGCGGGTACCCTCAACAAAGGACACACTCAAATTGCCTCCGCGGAAACGCCTGCGATCTAGGGATCTACGGCTCCGGCAACAGCGGCATCACCCGCGGGAGGAAGCGTTTAGCGCTTTCCTGCACCCACATCCTTGGAGACTGGACGCCCTCCACGTTTTGTGAGACCAGGTTGGTTGGATTCATGAGCAAAGTCACCAAAACCGTTGGGTTACCATGGTGGCAAGTGGATGATTCCAGCCAAAGTCGGAGCTGAAACCTGGCTGAATCTCCTTTTCGTGTGAATGTCATGTGACATTTGGGCGAAAAAAACCCGCTGATGGCTTGATTCTTTTCCAGGATTCCC